AGCTCAGAAATAAAAGACAACTGACAAAAACGGACAAAGGATCTGAATAATCATTTTCCCAAATAAGATACACAAATGGTTAGTAAGCTCATGAAAAAATGCTCAACATCTTTACTCATCAAAGAAATGTTCATCAAAACCATAACAATTCCAAGACCATTGTGTTTTTCTAAGGGGAAAAAAACCCCAAACCAAACAACAAAAAACCGTAAATGTTCACAGCAGCATTATCCATAGTAGCTAAAAATGTAAACAACTCAAATGTCTATCAACCAATAAATGGTTAAACAGAATGTGGTATATCTATACCATGGAGTATTATTTGGCAATAAAAAGTAATAAAGTGCTAATATGTTACAACATGGGTGAATCTTGAAAATGCTAAGCAGTGAGTCAGTCCTGAAAGACCATATAGTGCATAATATTTATATGAAATTTATACGAAATGTCAACAAGAGACAAATCTACAGCTGTAGAAAGCAGATTAGTAGTTGTTTGTTTAGGACTGGAGGTTCCAGGAAAATGGGGAGAGGCTGCTAATGGATGCATAGTTTCTTTTTTTTTTTTTTTTTTTGAGACAGAGCCTCAAGCTGTCCCCTGGGTAGAGTGCCATGGCTTCACTGCTCACAGCAACCTCCAACTCCTGGGCTCAAGCAAGTCTCCTGCCTCAGCCTCCCAAGTAGCTGGGACCACAGGCGCCCGCCACAACGCCTGGCTATTTTTTGGTTGCAGCCACCATTGTTGTTTGGTGGGCCCGGGCTGGATTCAAACCTGCCACCTTAGGTATATGTGACTGGTGCCTTAGCCGCTTGAGCCACAGGCGCTGAGCTGATGCATAGTTTCTTTTTGCTGTGATGAAAATGTTCTAAAAATTGGTTTTGGTGATAGTTGCTCAATCTTGTGAATATGTATATTAAAAATCACCTATAAAAGGTGGATGGTATTGTATGTGAATTATGCCTCCATGCCTCCATAGATGTAAAGGTGTTCTTTTTTTTCTTTTTGAAGTTTAAAGAAAAAATTTTTTAAAGATAAACACCTTGCATAAAGGTGTTTTTAAAAAGACCATCTAGATTCTTCACCTGATTACGCTTATAAATGCTGTCTTTAAATTTACTAAGATACAGTAGGTTCTGAGAAACATGTTTGCCTATAAAGGACTTCACTGTACCAGGAAAGAACTGACCAACCTTGATTTAATTAATTTTATCCTATAAATATTCTGCCAGTCTTTAAGCAGAGATAATACATTTCATTTTACTTCAATTCTTTCTGTTTTGCAACTCTACTTAGGAGATTTTTGACTGTGGTCAAATGATATAACATAGTTGTGCCTTAGTTTTCACCTGTAACATGAGGATAATAATAAAATCTACCCCATACAGTTGTTATAAGCACCAACCAATTATGAAAATATATAGCTGTACACAAACTTTATGGCCACCCTGTACATATATAAATTGCTTTCAACTCTTATGAGTCATATGGCAAATTGCCACCATCACATCACTCATTATAAGAAAATTAAAATTGCCTTTACTAGAGTGGATCTAAATATAATGGGTCTATTTCTTCCACATCCATGAGAATGCAACAAAATATACTAATTTCGGTTTTACAGAAATATTACTGTTTTCTCACACTACATATGAAATTATGTATCTAGTGTGATACTGAAAAAAAAAAATCCAAAGTATTTTCTCCTGCTTGGTTTAACTTTATGCAGGTGCAAAGTTAAACAGAGGCTATTTATCAAAGGTAGAAATTTCAGCAGAGGCACAAAGGACTCCTTTAAATAGGTTAAGTAATTGAGTTAGCTTTTCCAGACAGGATCTTATTTTCATTCTAATAAAACTAATTAAGGTACCTGACTGTCACTGGGAAATGTCAATTATAATCTGTTTGAAATAACGAGGACTCGAGGGCACCAAAACGTCAAAATAATTTATCCAGTCATACCCTGAAAATTTTCTCTTAGTGAATAAATAACGACACTAATTGAGCTGTTCACTATCGAGGATCATTGTCAAGTTTACATGGACCCTTAGGCTAATAAAATGTTCGTTCTCTTACTCTAAGTTATTTTTGTTCCATAGACTTCTGTGGTATGTGAAATTAGCATGATTAGCAAAATTAAATTTTTTTTTTCTAGAGACAAGAGTCTCACTTTGTCACCCAAGGTAGAGTGCCCTTGCATCACAGCTCACAGCAACCTCCAACTCCTGGACTTAGGATTCTCTTGCTTCAGCCTCCCGAGTAGCTGGGATAACAGGCCCTGCCACAATGCCCGGCTATTTTTTTCTTGCAGTTTGGCCAGGGCCAGGTTTGAACCCACCATCCTCTGTATATGGGGCTGACGCCCTACTCCCTGAGCCACAGGCACTGCCCAAAATATTCTTGTAATTTATTTCATAATCTAGAAGGACATACAGTTCAGTAAAATTTTCTCTGGGAGAAAAGTACTCCCTAATTATGGAGAAGGCTTACCATCACCTTCGTTCTCCATACTGTCTATGATTTATGTTTATGGAAAGTGGGTAATGTGAACTTTCTAGAACAGTAACATAACATTTTGTGACTTTTACATAGTTTCGCACTTATCCCATTGGGTCTTCACAACAATTCTATAACGGAGGTGTGTGTAGCACTATCACTAGGGCTTCAGTGCATTAATCTGCAGGTTGTATGTGATGCATCTCTAGGAGACACTATTTAAATTATAGTGTAGATTTTTTAAAAAATCTATTATTACCATTTCCCAGCAGATGGCAGTATAGTATCTTGAAGAAGAGAACCTTTTTTTTTTTCTTTTTCCTAATTCCAACAAAGGCATGGTAGAGTAGTGGTAGCGCTGATTTATTACCTTCTCCTTCATGAATGAGCCTCAGAGAAGTGAAGCATTCCTAATAACCAAGGCAGAAGCATAAATTTATTTCCCCCCCCTGGAACCAGGTTAAGTAAATACCCCTGGATGGGAAAAACATAATTTATGTGCATAACTGAAGCCTTGTAGGATAAGAAAAGGTCAAGAGGGTATGCCTCGGTGTGCTGTTTTTTAAAAGAATTCTGAGGAAATTAATTTATTTTAATTGATAAATAAAAATCATATATAGTTATCATGATGTTTTCAAATATGCAGACATTGTGGAAACTGAGCTAATCATGCCTCGCTTCACGTCCTTATCACATTGTGGTCAAAGCACTTAAAATCTACTCAGTGATTTTCAACAATACAACTCGGTGGTGTCTGTGGCTCAAAGGAGTAGGGTGCCGGCCCCATATGCTGGAGGTGGCGGGTTCAACCCAGCCCCAGCCAAAAACTGCAAAGAAAAAAAAAGAATACAATTCACTGCTTTAAACTATAGTCACCATGTTCTACAATAGACCTCTTGAATTTATTCCTCCTATCAAAGGGGTTCTTGATCAAAAGGAAGAAAATCTTACATGCTGCATGTTGCGTGGTTTAGGGTGTTGTCCCCTGGCCTGTGAGCCTCCGTCCACACGGCCACAGTGTCACAAACTGTGGGCATTCACTGAGCTCCGGGGCTGGCTTGGGAGGCACTCAGCTTTCTCTCCGATGCAGTGTAGGGGACCCACACCAAAAGTCCTAAAACATGAGGCCACTACAAAAATACACGCTGTCACCTTCCAATGCGATAAGCTGAAATACACACAACTGAGAGCTGCCCAGCGGCAAGTGCTAACCTAACAACAGCCAGAGTGTCAAAATCCAACGTGCGAAATGAAGTTTTGTCATAACTCACTCGGTGGCAACATTCAGACAGCTCTAACCTGGAGCAGCCATACTATGCCCGCAATGGGAGGCCATTAATGATCCTCAGTTTTTCCTCCTGATGTGAACACACGCTATAGGAACGCTGATGTTATTCCTCATCGGGTGCTGTATCCGATCCACGGGGGAGATCACAATACATTACTATGGCATGTGCTGCATATTACCTCTCCACATCCTGAAAATTTAATTTCTTTTTTTTTTTTTTTTTTTTTTGAGACAGAGCCTCAAGCTGTCCCCCTGGGTAGAGGGCTGTGGCATCACAGCTCACAGCAACCTCCAACTCCTGGGCTCAAGCGAGTCTCCTGCCTCCGCCTCCTAAGTAGCTGGGACCACAGGCACCCGCCACAATGCCTGGTTATTTTTTTTTGATTGCAGCCATCATTGTTTGGTGGGCTGGGCTGGATTCAAACCCGCCACCTTAGGTGTATGTGGCTGGTGCCTTAGCCCCTTGAGCCACAGGTGCTGAGCCTGAAAATTTAATTTCAATACACACCTGAACCCGAGTATTTCAGAAAGCTGTACCAAAAGTGCCCTTGACTAGCTCCTGTTCAGAATGTCCAGAGTGAGTGGTACTGACATAGTGCATGCTTCATAGTATGTAAGAACTATTATTTATTGGAATTTCTGCATTATTTTCAACCCTTATTAACATAAAAGCCAATTATAATAAATTCTAGGCAATATATCTATATATTTTTTTGAGATAAGAGTTTTATTATGTCACCCTTGGTAAAGTGTCATGACGTCACAGCTCACAGCAACCTCAAACTCTTGGGCTTGAGTCATTCCCTTGCCTTAGCCTCCCAAGTAGGGGGGCTACAGGCATTTACCACGATGCCCGGCTATTTTTGTTGTTGTTGTTGTAGTTGTCGTTGTTTTCAGTAGGCCAGGGCCAAGTTTGAACCCGCCACCCCAGTGCATGTGGCCGGCGCCCTAATCACTGAGCTATGGGTGCTGAGCCTCCTATAATATTTTTATAATTTGTTTATTTATATAAATTAAACCCAAGGGGGTGCAGGGCTAAGGAAACACAATAAGATTACAAAGAAATAATTCAGGAGAATTATTACAGATTACTCTGTCACCCTGTACTCAGCAGTTCGAATAAAATATATTCTTAGGAAAAACTGAAATGCTTTTAACAAAATGCTGATGACAAGAAGACAAATGGTCACTCTGACTAAAAAAAACCCAAAAAAACCAAAACGATAACGATGACAAATACCTGCTGCCAAAGATCAAGGACAGTGCTGAGCAGAAGAGCACCGGGAAGTGGACGGCTTTCTCCGCCCTGGAATATGGCGTCCCCGTCACCCTCATCAGAGAAGCCGTCTTTGCTCGAGGCTTATCGTCTCTGAAGGATGAAAGAATTCAAGCAAGCAAAAAACTAATGGGTCACCAAAAGACCCAGTCTGAAGGTGACAAGGAATCATTCCTGGAAGACATTTGAAAGGCCCTCTATGCTTCCAAGATCATCTCTTATGCTCAAGGCTTTATGCTGCGAAGACAGACACTGAGTTTGGCTGGACCCTCAATTATGGTGGCATCGCCCTGATGTGGAGAGGGGGCTGCATCATCAGAAGTGTGTTCCTAGGAAAGATAAAGGATGCCTTTGATGGAAACCTAGAACTTCGGAACCTACTACTTGACAACTTCTTTAAATCAGCTGTTGAAAACTGCCAGGCCTCATGGCGGCGGGTAGTCAGCACTGGTGTCCAGGCAGGCATCCCCGTGCCCTGCTTCACCACTGCCCTCTCCTTCTATGACGGGTACAGACATGAGATGCTACCAGCCGACCTTATCCAGGCTCAGCGGGATTACTTTGGAGCGCATACCTATGAACTCTTAGCCAACCCAGGACAGTTTATCCACACTAACTGGACGGGCCATGGCGGCAACGTGTCCTCCTCGTCATACAATGCTTAACCAGACTGTTTCTGTTACCCTCCATGATTCCATAGACCAGGACATTCCACGTGCACACAGCACTGCTTACACGGCCCTTTGCCCTATTTTCTGCTCAGATCTCTTAAAGTAGTGTTGTAAGACATGCCTGAAAAAGAGCTTATTTGTAAAGTGGTTCTGTGGGACGGTCATGCCTTCTGTTCTTGCCTCTGGGAACTCCCCAGGAGCTGATCATGTGTGTCACTGTAGGAACCAGCTCCTTGGAGCAGTCCTTTCTACGTGTCCCCTGTGGGCTAACGAGGCTCTTGTCATGTGGATAGGAAGGACGTTTGTCATTTACTCAAACTGGAACTTTGTATCATGCAGCTGAGTTCCTTTTTCCCTTTACTTAGTAAAAGCCACTTTATATCTCAGAAAAAAAAAATGTTAAAGTTAATGTTGGTGTGAGGCTGGAAGCTGCAAAGCCCTCCCTGCGTTGAGCCTGGTTTTAACTAGATTTGGAGCAAACTTTGGGCCTGTGGCCCTTTAGATTTTTGTTCTGCCACCCTGGCTAACATGCCGTAGCATCATCATAGCTCACAGCAACCTCAAACTCCCGTACTCCCGCAATCCTCCTGTCTCAGCCTCCCAAGTAGCTGGGACTACAGCCGCATACCACCACACCCAGCTAATTTTTCTATTTTTTGTAGAGACAGGATCTTGCTGTTGCTTGAACTCCTGGCTTGAAGCAATCCTCTGGCCCCAGCCTCCCAGAGTGCTAGGATTACAGGCATAAGCCACTGTGCCCAGTCTTATTATTTCTTCATCTTACCAGTGCCTGTATCAGCCTCTTCTGAGATGACCAGTCTGGAGCTAATATCCAAAATAACAGTTAATAGTACTAGCTAAATAAAGTGAGTACTTAATAAACTAAAGGTCCTATAGAGTGGAAAGAATGATAATAGCTCATAATTGGTGAGCATTAACTGTGCCCATGGCTTTCTAAGCACTCAGCATATATTAACTCAGAAAGTTTCGTGACTCTAATGAGGAAGGTATCCTGTATCTTATGTTACAGGAGAGTAGAGAATGACGTTCAGATAGTGGCTAATCCTTAGCAGGGGTCCTCAAACTTTTAAAACAGGGGGCCAGTTCACTGTCCCTCAGACCATTGGAAGGCTGGACTATAGTTTAAAAGGACAGGCAGCAGCTAAGCAGGACAGGCAGCGGTGGCAAAACTACCCAGCGGGCCGGATAAATGTCCTCGGCGGGCCGCATGTGGCCCGCGGGTCATAGTTTTAGAGGACGCCTGCCTTAGAGGATGCTTGTCTTAGGGGATGTGAAATATAGGGGGCATTTCTGGCTATAAGTCTGAGGAAACATAACTAGCAGTTCATGAGTTGGGATCAGAGGTGCTACTGCAAATCAGTAGAGACTCTCAGCCAATGAGGAATTGTCCCCAAATGCAAATGGCACTCTGGAGAACTGCTGGGAACCACTCTCTTGCTAAGAACTTGTTCCTCACCACTTTCTTTTTGGTTTGGAATTCATTGAGGGTACAAAGAATTAGGTTACACTGAGTGCATATAAGATAAAGTCCCTCTTATAATTGTGTCCTGTCCCCAAGAGGTGTGCCATATCCCCTAACCCCCATACCCCTCCTTCCTGCCCCTTCTTCCCCTCCCACACACCACAGTATTAGCTCATCTCTTGCCTTCATATCAGAATTAAGTAATTGGATTTTTGCTTCTCCAATCTTGGGATGCTTTATAAACTAAGAAGGCATTCTACCTCCCAGCATTCTCTTTATTGAACTTCCCATTTTTAAAAAGACTTTTGCATTACTCAATTCAGATCATATTTAGAACTAAATCTCAGAACAGCTCGGAGCTTTCAGCCAATAGATGACTTGGTTGAAAATTCTTGTGCAGAAAAGCCTCTTTCTAGTATCTTCTACACTGCCAGAGTGAAAAGAAACAGAAAGCCTAGACCCATTAGTTTTTTCTCTGATAAACCACATAGGTAATACTTCAAAAATATATACTACTTCCATTTAATGCTATTCAATCTGGGGGAACAAATTCTTTCTTAGGATATGTCACGTAAAGCTTTTTCACCAGGAAATATGTTTTCTATCAACCTAGCTGTATTCGTGTAAACTGAGCAAAAACACATAGAAAAGTATTGCCTACCCAGAACTGGACTTCAGGTGACAGTCTATATAAAATTCATTTTCTTCCTGTGGTTATACTCTCTTATCTTGATTCAAATTAAACATTGTAAGGACAAATTCTTTTAGCAGCCAAAAGCACTGGGCAGGTAAAATCGCAGGATATATTAACTACTCCTATAGTACTAAAAATAAATCTATTCACAAATTAGCTTCACTGGCTCTCGTCTCTTACGTATTCTGTTTTCATTTTCTAGTCATCATTTCCATGGAGACAGAAAATTCTAAGTTTCGTTTGCTATAAAAATAAGTGTTGCCAGAGTCTTAATAGACTCTAATTATTAGCTGTATTTGAAGAACCCTGGAAGGATAAGACTGAGAAAGATTAAGCCTCAAATGTAAGCACTTAACAAAAACCAGATTCCCGATTCAGTAGATTTACCTGCTGCTCAACAATGTGTGGTACGAATAAGCCCCCACGTGGTGATGCCGCAAGCCTCAGACAACTCGCCCCCAGGTGTGGCAGGGAGGCTAACCTGGGGAGCTATTTCACAGGGAAGTATGGGTGAAGGCTGGGACTCCTCACAACACATTCGATGTGAAGAAGCTAAAAACTTAAGGCTTAGCTGGCAATAACAGCCCTTTGATTTTACATTTATACATGTTCTGCATTTTTAGTCCTACAGCATCCTGGCTAAGGTGTATATAAGACAGTCATGTCTTTGAAGGCTTTAAGAGTTCCTGTGAAATGTAACCATTCATCTGGACCCGCAGTTCTCAACCTGTGGGTTGGGACCCACAGGAACTGTATTAAAGGGCCGCAGCATTAGGAAGGTTGAGAACCACTGGGCTAGACGATATATTTATCATTGCTTGTGATGGCAAACTGTACTTTCTGCCATTTTACTCGTGTGTAAAGCTTTTGATTCCCTTTTTAGTCAGAAATATATCAAGAGCCTGTCTTTTTCTTTATCAGACCTGATTGAAATCTATTATAATCTGTGGCTTTGAGAAATCTGTTCCTTAAAGGGGGTGCAAAGGGGAGATTTCTCTTCAATACCCCTCCTGGCATGTCTTCCTCAAACACTGTCCTTTCATAGTTTCTGGTTGAAGAAGCAAGATTTAAAAAGCAGACCTGGAACTCAAACGTGAGAATCAGAAACCCCACAACACGCTACACGCAATCTTCAAGGATTCATTCTAGCAGCCCCCGACCAAGTTCTCACCTGCATCAGCTGCTGCTTCAGTTTCTGTATTTCTGAAATGTTCAGCTCGCTGAACAAGTCCGAGACGGGGTGCAGAGACTCTCCTTTCCTTAAGGTGGGAGTCCGGTAGTCCCCGTTGAGTTTCACCAGGGGCCCATGGATGTGCCCGTTCATCTTGTCATCGTTGTTGGGCTCGCTCCCGTCCTCGGCAAACTTGAGTCCGTCTACCGAGATGCTGATGTGGTTGTCGTTGAGGGTGATGTACTGGGCCAGCTCCTTCCGCAGGTTGTTCTTCTGCTCCCTCTCGTTCTTTAAAGTCTCCAGGGCCTCCTCCAGCTGGTGCTCGGCGATCTCCTTCAGTCGGATGGCGTCCTCCAGCTGGCTGTTGAGCAGCACCGTCTCCTCCTCAAATCGCTTAATCTCGTGCTTTAAGCCTTCGTATTCGACCTGGATCAGACGGGACAGAGAAGATGCATAAAACTAAAATTTGGATCTTACAAAACTGCCACGAAGCACTGCGGTGGACCAAATCATTAAAAAAAAAACGTAACACTAGCTGTGATAACACTCCTGCATTCTAGCCCAGGTGACAGAATGAGACCCTGTCTCAAAAAATTAAAAAATTTAAAAAAAGAATAAGCAAACAAAAATACGTAACACTAGTCCATGAAATAAAGCATAAAAAGCACAGAGAATACCATTATGGTAACACAAAATGGCTTCCTTAGAATTTATACTATTGTATATAATTAGATATAATAATATAAATACATATTATGTATAATTAGATATAATAATATAAACATATAACTACATATATATAGTTTAATTCATAGCAAAGATGAAAAAAAGGTGTCTACTGGTTTTTATAGGATCCAATGGTCAAAAGGGGGCACTGTTTGCCTTATAAATAAGGAATTTGGGGGTAATTTATCAGAATATTTGCAATCTAAAAAGGATATCACCATTACTTTATTTCATTATTAATAAGGAGGAAACTTTTATACCCAGAGATAAATTTGCTAAAAGAGCATAATCTCAGTAACATGCTTGTGCGTATAAAGAGGAAGTAAAGATAATTTTTATGTGTGTAAGGACAGAATCTGGAAGAACAGATACAAACAGTTTATTCATAAACACATCTATATTGTTACCAATGTAATATTGTTTTGATGTATAACAGAATAGGACCCTGCTCAAACTACCTCTCGGTCATGAAAAACCAGAGGTGATGGAGACCTCTCCTCTGAGCTGACGTGCCTTCCTTGGGACTGTTTCCATGACACTTATCACACGCCATTTTTTTTTTTTTAGGAGACAAAGTCTCACTACATTTCCTAGGCTGGCCTTGAGGTCCTGTGCTGAAGAGATCCTCCTGCCTCAGCCTCCTATGTAGCTGGTTCTGCAGAAGTGCACCACTGTGCCTGGCTTCACTTGTGCCACTTTTAATAAATATTTTAATTCCACAACTGTAATCTCCTTAGAGAGAGGAAGTACTTTTTTATTCACCTAAGTGTCCCTCATACTGTTTCTGTGTTCTTTTATGGTATTTAAAACATTTCTGCTCTTTATAAGCATTTGCAGAACACCTAACTACTGTAAATGAAAAAATAAACTATTCGTAGAAGAAATAATGTAAAATCATCATGATGTTAGATGCTATTATAAATGCTGTGCCTGGTTTTCCATTTATTTTAGTATTGTATCAGTTTGAACTTGAATTTTAAAAAAAGATTTTAAGGGCGGTGCCTGTGGCTCAATGGGTAGGGTGCCAGCCCGATATACATGAGGGTGGTGGGTTCAAACAGGCCCTGGCCAAACTGC